ATCAAGTGATTTTTAACATTTCTGAAAACTGGATCAGGTTGAGTGTCCCTTATCTGAAATGCTGGGGATGATGAATCTCAGACTCTTCACATGTAGATGATGAGGTAGCTTGGAGATGAGACCCAAGTCTAAACATACTTGTTATGCATGTATCACATATACACCATTTGCATAGCATGAGACAATTTTATACGATATTTTTGCTGCAGCCCCTCACATAAAGTCAGGTATGGAATTTTTCACTTGTGGCATCCTGTTAGCACCCACATTTTGGATTTTGGAGTATTGCAAATTTTAGATTTTCACATTAGGGATGTTCAACCTTTATATCAAAGTATTTTTTTGTAATTAAACACAAATTATATTTTTTGCATTCAATGTATCTAGTATAAAATTGTGTTCTGAAAACAAACATGACTTCATTGTATAATTTAACATATATGCAGAAACGCTCTTCCATTAGAGACAATTAAAAATATTGGAGTGAGACGGCATTTGAATCCCAGCTCAACTCTCAAAACATGTGACTTGGGGCGAGTGACCTGGCGGCCTTGGCTTTCTGATCTCATGGCTCTGTTGCTGGCGACACAAAAGCCGCGGCAACAATGCCTGGCAAGGGATTCTGTGCTCAGTAAGTTGGTAGCCTTTTTTAAGCTCTGAGCTTCAGGGAGCATTACCTGACCTCTCCCCGCTTCTACAAAACCCCATTGTTGTAGCCCCAAGTAAGCTAATTAAAATCTAAGCTTTAATAAGAAAAATGTAATGAAAAAGGCCAAACATAAATACGTCTTCATTTTGGTTGTGGGTAATAGATGACTGTGTAATGAACATTACAAGATTTTATTATTATTATTACACTTAGGAAACGATCTTTGCCTACAAAAATGTGCCAACTGCAAGACAAAAAATGTCTCCTCTTGTTTGAGAATAAATAAGAGACCTAATGCCCTATTGTGGCCCAACAAGCAGGAGTGTTTGCCAACATAACCACAAGAAAGCCAATTAACACAGAAAAATGATTACAGTCTGATTCCCAGGGCCGTTTGTCTTGGTAATGCCCGTTTTGGTGAAAGGATCCAGTTCAGAGTCAGTGCTGTTACTTCAGCCTCTTCTTATGGGAACCAGTTCCTCGATCTTTCCTTGCCTGCTGTGACCTTGACCTTGGCAGAATGCCAGCCCACAGATGAGGGTTGGGGGTCTCCCAGGGAACAGCTCGGCCTTGCTTTGTCTGTGGCTCCCTCGTGGTTGAGTTAGCTATCCAGCATTAGCAGGGGAGCTGTGGATGCTGGGCTGGCCCACGCCCTGTTGGGCAGCACGTGATGTTGGTGTGTGCCACTGCCCATCATGGCCACCGCGATCTCTGTAGTGTTACTCAAGTCCACACTTTCACACTGTGCTGGTGCCTCCCTCCTTATGCCACAGCTATTGCGTCTTTCCATCAACAAAGACTCATGGATGCCTAGGTTATTCAATGGGTTGAAAGCCATTCTGTCATTCTCTTTTGATCCCCAGTGTACCCCAGACTTGGGCAGCAGGAGCCCCTCTAAGTTGGTTTCTGTGGCCTTTGGACAGGCTTTGTCCCCACCATTCTTGAGAGCCACGTGGGTGCAGCGGCCCAAGCACTTCCTCCACGGGCTCATGCTTCTCTCCTTATATTCGGAACTCCTTTTTCTTTCTTTATTTGAAAGTCACAGTTACACAGAGAGAGGAGAGGCAGAGAGAGAGAGGTCCCCCATCCGATGGTTCACTCCCCAATTGGCCAAGCTGCGCTGATCCGAAGCCAGGAACCAGGAGCCCCCTCAGGGTCTCCCATGTGGGTGCAGGGGCTCAAGGACTTGGGCCACAGCAGAGAGCTGGATTGGAAGAGGAGCAGCCAGGACTAGAACTAGCGCCCATATGGGATGCTGGTGCTCCAGGCCAGGGCTTTAACCTGCTGTGCCACAGTGCCAGCCCCAGAACTCCTTTTTCTGATGGAGGACTGCCACCCATCACCCTTTGTGGAGTTATGTCTTTGCTCCATGCCCCTCTGAGTAAACCAGTCTCCTGTCCCTGCTGTTGGCCTCATCTTCAGTCCGGGTACTGATGCCCTGCCCTCCTCCTCAGGGCCAGCTGCATGGTCAGGCCACCCGCACATTCACCCTGGGCCCTGTGCTTGTTTTAATGCTGTCATCTTCCTGGAATTTTTAATCTTTGCAAAGGGGGCTGTGCATTTGCACTGAGCCCCACAGTGAAGTAGCCTGTCCTGCACTGACCCCTTGCTCGGGGTGGCTCTCCCACCTGGTCTTCCTCACCAGCCACCCTGGCTGGAAACCTTGTGCCAGGGTACTCCCCTCCAGTGTCTCCTGGGCCTGTGTGCAGACCCTCCTCACCTTGCCCTGGGCCCCCACCCTGCCCCCAGCCACCTTGTCCTTGGGCCCCACCCTAGGAGCTTGGGGACTAAGTTACTTAGGCATTTCATCCTTTGGATATTTTGCAGCTAGCCTTTGCTATTGACAGGTGTGGGGTTCTCTTCCTCTTGGGAACGTTCAGAGTCCTAAACAGCAGGCAGGGTCGTCACTGACACAGCAAGCATAGGAATGGCCCAAGTATGTGGGCCCCTGCCACCCATGTGAAAGACCCGGATGGAGTTCCTGGATCCTGGCTTTGGCCAAGCCCAACTCTGAGGGCTGCAGCCATTTGGGATGGATGGGTGATCTCCCCAACCCGCCTGCTATTGCTCTGCCTTTCAGAGAAATGAATAAACATTAAAAAAATCCTTCTAGTCATCTTTAAGACTTGATGACATTTTCTATAACATTGCCTACCTGCCCCTGAAAAGCTGGTCACTCTGTCACCACTTGACTTTATATCATTTCATGAATATCATTTTTGGCCAGCTTACAATCCATGTTCTCTAAACTTGGATACATATTAATTCGGGGGATATACAGCACTGTATAAGTATTACAATAATTTAATTCTAAGTGATTTTGAATATTTTATGTTGAAGCAAATGGACATTTTATGAAATAGGACCCAAATAATATAAAAGTTTTTATAATAAAATAGGACATATGAAAATGGTGGTAGAATTTATTGTACACTTACTATAGCCTATAGACTTTTTATTCCCAAAAATTCATTTATTTATTTAAAAGGCAGAGTTACTGAGAGGCAGGGGCAGAGAGACAGTGAGAGAGGTCTTCCGTCTGTGGATTCATTCCCCAGATGGCTGAAATGGCTGGAGTTGCACCAATCTGAAGCCAGGAGCCAGGAGCTTCTTCTGGGTCTCCCAGGCAGGTGCAGGGACCCAGGGACTTGGGCCATGTTCTACTGCTTTCCTAGGCCATAGCAGAGAGCTGGATAGGAAGTGGAGCAGCCAGGGCTCGAACTGGCACCCATATGGGATGCCGGCACTGCAGGTGGCGGCTTTACCCACTATGCCACGGCACCGGCCCCTATATCCTAGACACTCCACCTAATTTTATTGAACATGCTACAAGCAGCAGGCTATCCGAGTTCTAGGAAGGTCTTGGGGGTGGGAGCTGTAGTTCTGGTGTTTGTGCCATGGGGGTGGGGAAGTCTGTGATGGGTTGTTTTTCTAGGTCTGCATTTCCAGCATGCAGTAGTTAGCTGGCACTGAGCTGCTGAACCTCAGTAAAAACTTGAGGAAAGAACGGAGCCTGCTCTGTCTGCTGGAATACCCTCTCCATCTTTCCTCCCTGCATGGTAAACTCTTATTGGTCCCTCAATACCCTGTTACATGTCATCTCCACTGTGAAATCTGACTCTCAACTCTTTTTTAGCCATTGGAACACCTGGGCTCTCCTCAGACCCAGCACTGAGCTGGTCATACTTCTGTTCATTTACTGGACTCCCACGGAAGGAGTAGTACTCCTCCAGAGACAGATCTGGGGTTCATTCCCAGCACCGCGCGAAGGGCCTGACACACAGTGAATATTTGTTGAACAAATGAGCAACCAAGATAGCTAAAACTCAGAACGGACCCCAAAAGGAGGAGGAAGTGACTCTGCTCTGTCCCTGAGCCCTTTTTCTTAGCTTGTGTAGTGGGCTGACTGACAGTCTCTGTGCTCTAACTTCTGGATTCTGGGACCATGATCTTAGTTGGGGGAGGGAGGGAACGTATTTGCAGACGCAATCAAAGTTTTCAAGAAGAGAGCTGAATTATCTAGGTGGGCTCTAAATCCAGTTACAAGTGTCTTCTTCACAAAAGAAAGGAAACTCAGGAAGGAGAGAAGCCATATGGAGACAGGCAGGGGTTGGCGCTCTGCCACCACAAGCCAAGGAACCCTTGGAGCCCCCAGCAGCTGGGAGAAGCAAGGCGGAGGCTTCCAAGGAAACAGAGCCCCCTGTCACCTTGCCACTGGACTGCCTGCCTCCAGAACCATGAGGAAATAAAGTTCTGCTGCTTTAAAGGACCCAGATCCTGGCCTTTTGCTATGGCAGCCCCAGGAAATAAACACAGCCTAGAAACAGAGTATGTCTTCTGGGAAATTCCACCAGATCTTGGCACCACATGAGTGGAACCAGATTTGGGATTTTCCCAAGGACTCCCTCTCAACCAACACCTGCCCACACACTGCAGGCCCCAGCCATGTGGAACCACTCAGCGTCTGGGAGGAGGAGGGGCCCACGTGACAGCCATGTGACCCAGCTCCCAATCAGCTCTGCCCTGTTTTTCAGGCTTCTGAGCAGCATAGAGATAGCGTGTTTACTTGTACTAAATGTTTTAAATGCCGCTATTATATGTCAGGTCCTGCACTTTACAAACGCCGACTTCACCCCACGGCCACCCCTTTCCTATTTTACAGATGGAAAAAGTGAAGCTGAGTGGGAGCTGACTTGGCCAGGGACACACAGCCAGGAAGTGGCAAAGCCCAGATTCCAAAAGGGCCCGAGTCCTGTGCGTCTGAGTCTAAACCCGGTGTTCTCTCTGCTACGTCAGTCCCTAGGTGGTAGAGCAATGTACAGTCTATGGGGAGAACGGCAGATCAATAGCCTGCAGGATGACTCAGCGCTGTTTATTATAGAAGCGATCGCCCCAGACACACACTGTCATTATGTTCAAAGACGTCTGCATGGAAGAGGTGGCATTTGAGCTGGGGCCTTCACTTAAACAAACTTCCTGATTCTCTTCTCGGTGAAGCGCTGGGAATCTGGAGATGAATCGCACAAGGTCCTTTTGCTTGAGGAATTTACAAGTATGTGTGTGTGGGTGGGATGGGAGTGGAGGGGGGATGGCGGGGGAGGGTGCGGGGAGGGGCGGGGGCCGGCGGGACGCAAGCGGGTATTGAGGAGGGAGGGTGGGCAGCCCGTCTGTGTTACACACCTGGTAAGACAATGCACTACACGGAATAATCAGCTCTGCGGCAGCGGGAAGGTTCCGAACGCAGGGTCCCAGGAGAAGTCTTCTGAAAGTGGGAGACCTGGCCCAGCTGCGCTTTGATGGGTTAGTAAGCGGCACTCAGGACAAGAAAAGCAGCAAAGGCTTTCTAGGGACGGCGTAAGTAACCCCTGCGGAGGTGACCCAGCGCCCCGGGGCGCCAGGCACACCTTGCAGCTCAGCGGACTAGGTCGTGGACTGCGAGGCGAGGCGTGGACTTGCGGGTCGGAGCGGGTCGCCGGAGAGCGCGTCTTCCGCCGGGTTTCCCGTCCACACCCGCACGTTGATGAGGACACCTCGACGAAGGGCTGCCATAGGGGCCTTCGAGGGGCCGACCAGCAATCGCCACCCTATGGGCGCCGAGCGGGACCCGCCCTCCTCCGGAGCCGGTTACCACAGCAACTAGGTTAGGGCGGAAGTGGCTCCGAATACCGAGTTTCACTATCAGGTGACTCTAGCCTTCTGCACGTGACAGCGGAGCCCAGGCGCGCGCTCTGCCTAATCGGGACCCCGCCCCTCCATCCCTTTACTGACAATTGATGGCGGTCTAGAGCAATGGCCCTTGCGGCTCCGCCAGGAGACTCCGCCCCACAGTAGTGAAACAACCAATTAGACTGGCACATAAAGAAGCACCGCCCCAGGTTTCACTCCGATTTGACAGACGCAATTGAGGCCATCCTCAAGTTCCTCCGCCCCCAGTCCATTCCGGCAGGCGACGGACAGACCTTTCTATCCAATAGCGCGCCCCGTGGCCCTCGTTGGGTCCCGCCCCTAAGAGGAATGAACCAATGAGCGGGCCAGGACTGTGCCGGGTGGAGGGGTTGCACTGCGGTAATATGGCTCTTCCTTAGCCAGCGGCGGCGGCCAGCGGGGAGCTAGAACAGCCCTGCCTCTCGGGTGGCGGGTTTCTAGGCTGCAGGGGCGCGACAGATCGTGGCTAGGAGGTGGCGGCGGATGCCGGAGGAGCGCCTGCCTCGCCGCTTGGCGGCCCCCGAGTCGAGATGAGCGCCTCGGCGTTGGTCGGAGGCCCGGTCCCCCCGCCGCCCCCGGGCCCGGCCGCCGCGCTGCCGCCCGGTTCCGCCGCGCGGGCCCTGCATGTGGAGCTGCCGTCTCAGCAGGTATGCTCGCGGCGCCCGGAGGCACGGGAGAGGCCCGCGCGGAGACCCTGCGGGCTCCGGGAGACGCGGAGAAGTGGCGCGGAGAGCTCGCGGGACTGAGGGCGGCTGTTGGGGGGTCTTGGGAGGGGACGTCCAGTGATGGCCGAACCCCTGGGACATCCCCGCGTCCTGGGAGAAGCCCGTTACCTGAGATGGGCTTGCGAGGCGTCAGGCGGAGAGCCTGGGGAACTCCCGGGGTCCCAGTGCGAGGCCGCTTGGCCCCGGGAGCGAGCCGGGAATTCCCTTGCGCAGACCCTCGGGAAGCCCGGGTGGCGCCGGGCACGGAGAGCGCTCGCCCTTTCTCCGTCGGTGCTGTGGCGCGGGGCCGGCGTTCGCTTTGAACGTCCCCCTTTGATGAAGTACTCCCCTCGGCCCCTCAGAGAAATGTGTTTGGGACCTTGGGGTTTCCTTCCCAATTAGTTAGGAGGACTTTCCCCTACTTCTCTCCGATGAGCGGCTGTGGAAGGAGGGTTTGATGGATGTGCTCATGCCTTCCCCACTTCTTCAGCAAGGGCTTTGAGAGCTTCTTGTAGGGCGCTAAGAGGGAACTGTGGATTTGGGGACCCGACAAAGTTCTTTGTGTCACCCTCGTATCTCTAGAGCCCCCCCCCCCTTCTGTCAGTAGCTCACCCTCTCTCTCCCAAGGAGAGACTTTGGAGGAGTCATGGCATTAGAGGTAAAATACCTTTCATCCTCTCCATTCCTCCTTCCTGGAAGACCTAAGCGAAACTGGTAGTCCTTGAGAACTTAGCGTGCTGGATTTGCGCAAAGCGCTCCATGGCCTCGGGTTCCGGGAGCCCTCTCTACTGCAAGGGATGGCTATTGCTGGCATCTTCATTTTACCGTGGAGGAGACTGAGGCTTGTCCAGAGCCTTGCACTTGGTGTTGTTGGGGCTGGATTGCAGAATCCAGCGTCTGACTTTGTACGGTGGTTTGCTTGAGACTTGAGCAACCTTTTCTCCACAACCTTCACACCCTGTCTCCTATTTTCTATCCCTGCCCATGGGACTTAGGAAAGATTTATAAAGAGGCAAGCAGAGGTTTGGGAAGATAGTGCATGAGAAATGGAAGGGATTTAGGAAAGGGGTGGAGGGACTGGAGGAAGAGAGGAGCTGGAGTAATATCCACAGTGGTGGCATTAGGTAGGGATGCAGAGTTGTTCACAGAAGCTAGGGCTGTTTGTGTGGTAGAAGAGGGTCTAAAAGACGGCGGTGGCAGGTGCACTGGTTTTGTGGCGCTGTTGGGCGGGGAGTTTGTGGGTAGTGAGGTCTGGGTTGTATTGTGAGGTCCCCAGAGAGGAAAGGTCTGGCTGGGGAGACTACCTAGCAATGCACATTCATGTGGATTTTCATCTGCGTGGGAGGGGAGATACTGGGGAAGGCCATGGTGGGCGCTGTTGGAAACAGCCTGGGGAAATTCTAGGGAGTTGGGGGCCAAGAAGGTTTTGGTTTGGGGGAGAACATGTGGGAGTAGGAAGGAGAAGGCATCCTTTATTTTAGAGAGCTTGTTCACAGTTTAACACTGGGGGAAATAATCCAAACAAACTGTCCGTGGAATAACTTAACTGCATTTGTTGGCGTTTGTCAAGTTTCTGGATTGGTGCCGAGGGATATATAGTGGCTTAAGTGTGTAGCGAATGCTTTGTGAGTGCTGACTATGCTATTTACAGCTTTCTGGGGGTGTCATCCTTCTTGAATTCTTGGAAGGCAGCCTGTGTAACAAAACACTTTGACTTTTGTCTTTGGCATTAATGTAGTTTTCTGGGTCAAAATGCTTAGATTTTTAGGGTTTAAGTGTATAATATTAAGAAGGTGCACACCTGTGGAAGTGTGATTTGTATGAAGCCCACAGGTTATTAGTATCCAGCTTGATGAATTTTCAGAGTGAACACAGTTATATAACTACTACCCAGATTAAGAAATACAAAATTATTAACATCCCAGAAGGCCTCCTTATGTTCTCTCCCATGTTTGCCTTTCTATTCTCTCCGAAGGAACCACTTTTCTGATTTCTAGTGGAGATGAGTTTTTGCCTTTCTTGAACTTTATATTAATGGGATTGTGCAAAATGTTTCTTTTTTCCCTATTTTCTTTCATTCAGTATTGTTTTGGAGAGTCACAAGATATGTGTATAGAAAACCTTTTTTCTGCACTTTAATTTGTTGTCTTTTTTTGCCTAATAATTTTGGAAAATTTCAAAGGTTTAAATAAATTTGAAAGCTAGTTTTTCACTTTTTTTTTTATTTTTTTATTTTTGACAGAGTGGACAGTGAGAGAGAGAGAGACAGAGAAAGATCTTCCTTTTGCCGTTGGTTCACCCTCCAATGGCCGCCGCCGCTGGCACGCTGTGGCCGGTGCACCGCACTGATCCGAAGGCAGGAGCCAGGTGCTTCTCCTGGTCTCCCATGGGGTGCAGGGCCCAAGGACTTGGGCCATCCTCCTCCACTGCACTCTTGGGCCACAGCAGAGAGCTGGCCTGGAAGAGGGGCAACTGGGACAGAATCCGGTGCTCCGACCAGGACTAGAACCTGGTGTGCCGGCGCCGCAAGGTGGAGGATTAGCTTGTTGAGCCACGGCACCGGCCTTCACTTTCTTTTAAATAACACTTTGAAATTTGTACATTCTGATACATCCCATGATAATAGGCAAGTTGGCAATGTTTCTAAACAAACTCAGTTGTTTGAAAATTTCTACCATGAAGCTGATTATTTCAAAGTGTGGATTCCGGAGTTCCTCAGCCTACTTCTAGGGCAGTTTCTCAGCCGTAGCACTGTTGACATTTTGGGAGTTGGGGGAGACTATATGATGTTTATCCATGTTGCTAGCCTCTGCCCACAAGATACCAGTAACTATTCCTCCCCAGTGCTGACAATCAAGAATGTATTCATTGAGTGGGCTTTTGGCTCAGTAGTTAAGTCACCGCTTGGGACATCTGCATCCCATATTGGAGTGCTTAGGTTCTACTCCTGGTTACTCTACTTCCCGGCCAGCTTCCTGCTAATATGTACCTTGGAAGGCAGCAGAAGATGGCTCAAGTACTTGAATCCCTGCCACCTATGTGGGAGACTCAGACTGGTTCTGGCTCAGATCTGGTGCAGCCCTGTTGTGGGCATTTGGGGAGTGAACCATAATAGATATATATAAAGATAGGTAGAAGGAAAGAAAGATCTTTCTCTGGATATCTGTCTCTGTTGTCTCACTTCCCAGATGGCTGCAGCAGGCAGGTCTGAAGCATTCCAAAGCCAGTAGCCAAGAACTCCATCCTGGTCTCCCACATATGTGGCAAGGGTCCAGGTGCTTCCCAGGCACATTAGTAGGAGGCTGGAATGGAAGCAGAGCAGCTGAGACTTGAACTGTCACTCTGATACAGGATGCTGGCATTGCATGCACTGGCTTAACCCACTGTGCCTCTAGGTTGACCCTGAGAAGCTTTGTTCTAAGGTATATGTTTATTTTAGAATAGAGAGTATTCCTGCTATTTATTCATTTATTACATTCTTTGTTTAAGTCCTATTGGTTCTAAAAGTGACTGTAATTCTCAAAATTTTAATTTACTATATAACATTAATTCCAAAAGTATTGGATTCCTCCTGTCCCAGTCGCCACCAGCAAAAGGCTTGTTTTTGCTTAAAGAAAGCCCACAAGCCATGTATAAGACCCAATTGGCTGGTGCCGTGGCTCAATAGGCTAATCCTCTGCCTAGCGGCGCCGGCACACCGGGTTCTAGTCCCGGTCGGGGCGCCGGATTCTGTCCCGGTTGCCCCTCTTCCAGGCCAGCTCTCTGCTGTGGCCCAAGAGTGCAGTGGAGGAGGATGGCCCAAGTCCTTGGGCCCTGCACCCCATGGGAGACCAGGAGAAGCACCTGGCTCCTGCCTTTGGATCAGTGCGGTGTGCCGGCCGCAGCGCACTGGCCGCGGTGGCCATTGGAGGGTGAACCAACGGCAAAGGAAGACCTTTCTCTCTGTCTCTCTTTCTCTCACTGTCCACTCTGTCTGTTAAAAAAAAAAAAAAAAAAGATCCAATCTGTTGTATTTTCATTCACTTACCATAAAAAAGTTAAGCCTGCATGACTCCTGAACCTTTTACCAAATGAGTACTAACTATAGTCCAGATAAGCTCTTTGACCATGCTAAATGGAATGACTGTTTAACATTTGGCTCCTTTTGCTTCTATGTAATCTCAGTTTAAGTGTGAACTACTCATGCATCTTTTTAAAAAAAGATTTACTTTGGGTCCAGTGCTATGGCCTAGTAGCTTAAGCCTCCGCCTGTGGTGCCTGCATTCCATATGAGTGCCAGTTCCTATCCTGGCTTCTTCACTTCCTATCCAGCTCTCTGCTGTGGCCTGGGAAAGCAGTAGAAGATGGCCTAAGTGCTCGGGCCCCTGCACCATATGGAAAAACTGGAAGATGCTCTTGGCCCTTGGCTTTGGATTGGCTCAGCTCTGGCTGTTGCAGCCATTTGGGGAGTGAACTAGCAGATAGAAGACCTCTCTCTTTGTAACTCTGCTTCTCAAATAAATACATCTTTTTTTTTTTTTTTTTTTTTTTTTTTTAAGAGATGTGTTTATTTGAAAGAAGTAGGGGGCAGGGGGAGATGGGGAGAGAGAGAGAGATCTTCCATCTGTTGGTTTACTCCCCAAATGTCCACAACCTGCCAAGGCTGGAGCCAGGAGCTTGATCTGGGTCTCCCATGTGGGTGCAGGGATCCAAGAGCTTGGGCCATCTTCTGCTACTTTCCCAGGCGCATTAGCAGGGAACTGTATTAGAAGTGGAGCAGCTGGGATTAGAACCAGTGCCCATATGAGATGCAGGCATTGCAGTCAGCGGCTTTACCTGCTGTGCCACAATGCTGGCCCCCACTTATACATTTTGAAGACTGATGTTGTTCTTTAAGTTTTGTTGAAGTTTGTAATTAGTTAATGAATGCATGTAGACTTATCTGAAGCATCGTTTTCTTCACA